TTGTCTTCTCAGTCTGAGCTCTCTCGCAATGTGCATGGTGTCGACCGCATAAGTGGTCCCCGTGCTAAATTCTCCTGCACTTATCGAACTGTTCAAGACCAAGCTTGGCTGCAGGAAACATGCGTGCAAGGCTTCTGATAAGCACGCCCCTGTAGGAGAGTGTCAGGGCCCAAAGTGGGGCCACACTGGCAGGATACGCGACTGTCCAAGTGGAACTGCAGTACCTTCTGTGCTGACTTTGTGAAGATGATGAAGTTTTATCTTGCTTTTTTTCTTTTTCTTACAGCTGTGGTTGTTGCATAATCAGTAGTCTGAATATTGCCATTAGAAGATACCAATTCGGCCATCTGTGTATGGATTTGCATCAAAACACACATAATTTGTTCATCTGTATCCCGACATTCGTGCATGGTGATAGCTACCCAACAAAAACAATCGAAAATGGTGGCCCAAGGCTTTTGTATGGTACTTAACTAATCAAATATCGTCCATCCACACTTACCCCATAAACAAGCTCGCCCACCATCCCGTTCCATATCTTCGTCTCGGGATCTCTGGCTCCGTATTTCCCATCAGGTACAATGGAGATCTTGTATTTGATTCCAATGTGTTTGGCGATCTCTGAGGCCAGATCCACACAGTAGCCCTCGTACTGGTCATTGCCTTCATATAGCTCCCAATTCTTTTTCAGCATCACGTAGGGGCCCTCCTACAAAAGCGGCACAAGGCAAGAAAGACACCGTTTGGAGATTGGCGATTGATGTGAAAGAACAAAAAAAAGTTGTGCTAAATAGGGAAAAAAGATGGGAATACAAACAGAGTAGTGTCAAGCATGTTTATTTCCGCATTAAAAAACAACAACAACAATACAAGGAATATGTCTGATTTGAGTGACTTAATTTCTACAAACAGATCTTAATATTTCTATTTATTGATATAGCTGGTGGATATTGTCCATCTTCACATCATGACATTTTATCTAAAAGTTTGGCAACCACTGATTTGTAACATACTTTTTTTTTTTTAAATCAACAATCACTCATGAGAGACAACAGCACAAGCGGCAAACAGAAAGATGGAAGAGAGGGACACACGTTTTCTTTCTTTTGAGAAAACGCCACTCAAGTGTCAGTGATATGATAAAACTGTGGATCAATGATTACATCAGTTCTTTTCACATATTTCTGGAAGCCTTATATGTGAAGTATTGTGACTTGTCGTGCGTTATGTCTTATCTTTATCAGCCTTGACGTGCCTCCGCTGGGGCGTGCACCTGCCTCAGTGCCGCAGTGTTGCCGATGCTAAGGGAGGAGAGATGTTCAACAGAAGGGAAATACAGGCGAGGAATGAACGCTGCTGCTTTGAAGGCGCTTTGTCAAAGGCAAAATGACTTTTTGAGCGTACAGTTTGCCAGATGAAAGCAAAGCGTGACTCTGAGGCTTTGGTGAGTGCGTTTTTAGAATTCAAAATCAGACACAGATGCACACGCGCACACACACACACACACACACACACACACACACACACACACACACACACACACACACACACACATACACCTGCGCAGATTGATGGTAGTGGTGAATTATTGCATTATGCCTGAGGCTGCTGCCCTTGTAATCCAACTGAACCAAGCCTATTAACATGCTATTGGGCTCTTTTAATCAAACACAAATCTCCTCCAATTAATCAAGTAGGCTTTTTCAGTTCGGTGGAAAATGGCAAATTTTAGCCTTGAAATGTTCAAATGAGCAGTGCAATGAAATGTGCAAATGGATTAATTGAAACAGCATTACAATTAGTAGGATGGAAGACGGGGGCTTTATGAAAGCATCATCGTTTTTCGATACAATGGAACCTCAAATCCCGAAATTAATTGGTTCAATGCACCGTTCGCAATGTTCAGAAATTCAGCTAATGTTTGCCGTTGTTATGACTGGAAATTAATCTGGTCCAGTTATACTTATTATTATTATTATTATTATTTCCAATGCATGGTTGAAAATCAATATATTACAATATAGAAATGAGTGAAAAGAAAGAAATGAAACACTTAACATGATAACTATTGTTACTCATTAACGTGCGCAAAATGGGAGGAGAACTCCAGCTCCGCCAATGAAAAAAAATGTCTTTTTTCATAATAACATGGGGAAATTCTGATTCAAGTGTTTTTTTATTGCGTCGGCTTTTTGTTTCTAATTCATGGGTGTATGTATTTTATTTTTATGTCCCCAAAATGAAGGAAGACAACATAAATTAATCTGCTCATTCAAGACGAGAACATCCATATATCTAAACACAGTATTCATTGAACCATTTGATACAAAAAAATACATTTGATAAAACATTTAAAAAAAAATAATTCAAACTCATCAGCAACATTAAATCAGGAACCTAAAACAATTAAAACAAAAACAAATACACGATACATAAGTTTGAGGAAGGGATGTTTTTCTGTTCCAGCGTGACAATGCCGCAGTACACCAAACATAAAGATATGCTTAGATTTATTTAGTTATTTATTTATTTTTGGGGGTGTGGAAGAATTTGACCTTTGGGATTACCAAGAACAAGCAGGATTTCAGGTCCAACATCACCCCTGACTTTTCAAATGTTGTTCTGGATGAAAATCTGACACACTCCAACATCTTGTAGCGAGTCTTACCAGAGGAGTGAAAGTTATAGCTACAAAGGGGGGCGGGGGCTAACGATATTTCATTCCATTTTACTTCCCATGAAATGGATGTGTCCCAATACTTCTAGCATGCCCACACGGCCTTCAGTTTTTCATTCTTCATTGTCCAGAATCTCACATTTGAAAGAGGACAACTTTGTCCATGTCCAGTACCTATAAAACATTGTGAAAGTTCTCTACTCCAAAGATAATCACATTGTTTTTTTAGTTTAGTTACGATATTACATTTTACACTTTAACCAGCTTTAATATAACCGTCACATGAACATATTGCCCCGTTGTGTCGGAACGTACAAAAAAACATTCCTGCTCCAATGACATCAGTAGAAACATTAGCAGGTCTCTGGGCGCTCATTCCATCGACTCAACATGAATCATAAAATTAATGAACACACAGGCGTGCGCCCTCTAATAGATCAACACAGCAATCTAAGCTGCTCGCTGACTTGGAATATCACCCAAATGAGAGCTTGACATCATATTGAAGTCATTCGCAATTTTATCTCGTTTGCTGTTTACTCGAAATTAACTGCCATCACATCGATTGTAATTGTTTTATTTGGAAGTTTTAACAATATTAAAGGAACGAACCCGATGATCGTGTTACAAGTTGTGTAATTATATCAAGTGTGCACAAAAAGAACAGTAGAACACAGACTAGTTTCACGTCCTATAATTTGCATGGAAGTTAGCATATCACGATAATAACAATCAATATTTCTTTGAATACACAATCAATTGCACGGCAATCCCCCTGAGGGTTGCCGTAATTGTACTCATTCTCTTCACCGATTGAATCGTTTACTTTATCTGCGCCAACAAGGGGAACTTCATCATTTCCCTTGTCTCCTCTTCAAATTGCCCTCAAGTTCATCATGTTAGAAGGTTAAGTGGTGAAAATGTGATAAACCCACTCTGCGGAGATAATATGAAGGAAGCAATGCACGCGCACACGGGCAAACACGTGCACACGGGTCGGAACGTTTTCATTTCAAAGTCTCGTTAATGGCTTTTATTAGTTTGTGCCAGATGCCTTTGTCTCAGCGTGAAGGTTGTGTGTGTGTGTGTGTGTGTGTGTGTGTGCGTGCGTGTTTGGTACTTGGGGACAATATCATGCTTGTTTGAGTTGTACCGGGGCGAGGAATAGGGTAAAAAATGTGTAGATGGGGACAAATAAGTGCAAAATGTGAATCTGAAGATGACAAAGTGATGTGCTGGCTGTTCCCTAATGTGATTTCAGTTCCTGTTGACATTTTATTTACCTGTATTAGGGCCGTAAGGAGGGAAAAAAAATATTTTAACTATACAAAGTCAACCTCAAAAACTGTTTGACAAAAAATGTCTGCCTCAAGACTGGAAGTAGGAAGAATAATAAAAGAGGAATCAGAATAATACGATTCTTGTGCAGCCCGCAACCATGTTTGGCCAGCGTCCATGTTTACCACACAAACATTTGTTGCAAACACACGCAGTGAATCTAAGGGACTACTTTTATATTGGCCGGTAAGGAATACGGAGAAAGACAAACAATGCCCAAGGTTTGGAGACACTTAAAATTCAACAAGGATGAAAGTAAAATGCGATGTAATTACTTCAAAACAGATCTGGTGTGAATAAAGACTCAAAGATATTTGAAGATGGGAAGCAGCTGCAGTGGAGCTCTTGATTTGCCTGTCGATCTTGGTTCCCACCCTCACCTTTGGTCATGAGCTGTAAGTCGCGATCAAAAGAACGAGAACACGGACACGAGCGGCCGATATGAGTTTAGAAGTCCTTTTCGCCGCCACTTCCCAGGCTGGCCACCGGAGCAGCCACTTGACGGCTATGAGGGGCAACGAGACTGCAGCTTCAATGAAAATTGAATAAATGACCCTCAAAAGATTTGTTTGCCACAACACTGAAGTTATTAAATAGATAATACTGAATGCCAGATTCCATTATTTGCTCGTAGGTTTACGTGGAGGTAACCGCCGATGCTAAATGTATTCTTTATCTAATGATCTCCAGTTATATCTCATGTGTCATTACCATATCAAGACTATATTTAATGATGCTTGAGTTCATGCTTGATTGACCTCGGCTGTTTTATTTCATTCAATCCGGGCGTGTTGTTTGCCATCCGTCATCAGTTTGCATATTTCAGTGATGTCAGGCTCACATTGACAGCACATACAGTCCACTGATCTGATTCACTGCGTTATGATCTATGACCTCTAATTTATGTAGAATTCAGATCCACACTTGAAAGAAACACAATTCTAATCCGAGGATACCTGAATCCGTAAGTTTCTTTTTTTTCTCTTCACTCTGAACCATACAAGCAAAAAGAAATAGACAGATCGTAGATCGATAGATCGATAAATCTGACTCGAACCATCTCATTTTTTGCCTGGCAAATATCGCCTGAAACACCAGCGATGGAACGATAAAGGGCCGGATCAGTCCAAACAGAGACTGAAAGATGGGAACGTTGAAAAAAAAAACGAAACAAATGTGCAGAAAGGTACAAAAGGAAAGGAGGGAGCAACAAAATAATTGACAACAAATGATCCAAATGGCGATGCAGTACAAAAACATGGTGGGTTGAAATTGAGCTTCGTAGGAGCAAATGTTTGGAGCTGATAAGGCATGAAAGGTTCCTGATATGTGCCAAACTGACTTGCTGTTTGAGCCAATTTGCTCCATCGAGAAAACAGCTGGACAGTGAAAAGTCCACTCGCATTCAAACAGTCAGTTCATCATTACAATACGCTAGACTGTGGCTAAATGAATAACCAACGGCCGAGGCATAAAATATGCCCGTGAGCCATCCGTTGCGACAGCCAGAGGGCCGAGCCAAGCGGTCACAGCCTATTTCAGTCTGTCAGAAGGACAACCGGTCCATTCGTGCCCCAATTAGTCAAATTACAGCACATAATCATGCACTCACTGATGTATTGGCCAAGTGAGTCAGCATGATTGTCTCTGAGCTATCTCGACATAAAAAGAGCAAAACACTTCAACATTTAGCT